AGGGATCAGACGAAGTAGCAAATTTGCCTCCTTACTTGCAATGGCAACCACCCTTCCTATCGACTTTGGTGAAAGTTGTAGTTATGATAAAGCTTTCCATTTATTAATAAGAAATTTGACAAGAATGCCCTACTTTTAGTGTCACAAGATTGGGTTTAGGGCATTCAACTAATAGTTGGTCCTACCAAAGCTACACCCTTACAATTTCATAAGCTATCCCTCATTTGTATGCTTAAGGCAAAATCTTAATTAGCTTAGGTTGCATTGAAGGAAGCCATCTTTTATTTCTTAATGGATTTTCTAGTGGTTGCAATTTTATTTAGAAGCAAATTGACTAAAATTTTTACTCCTTGAATATTTTTTCTTCTTCAGGACAAATTATTTAATTTAATTTCATTAGAGATTAAATCCAATTGTGTTTGATTAATCAATTACATGAAAAACACACCTGCACATAACCAGTTTTCAACTTGTCTCACATTGGAGAATTACTAAACTTGTTTAAGTTTTCAAATAGGAGTTTATTTACACTCCTTAGAAATATAAGAGTATGGAGGCTTGCTACTGTACAATGCACGTGCACACGTGTATGTGATGCAATGAGACCCTTTAAAAATGCACTTTGCTCACACCTGTGTGGTCTGTGTAAAGTGATTTTGACTTTTGGCGAGAAGCTGACCGTTGATGATTTCAACGATCGCGATCTAATTGGGTGTGATCAAGAGACACTATTCAAAGTTAATAGTCATTAACTTTTAACTACCTTTTAACAATCACAATATTTGAAATTGTGACTATTCAAAGAGCCTTTTTTGAACCAACATCTTCTTTTTCTCCATGACTCTTTAGAAACTATTTAAGGATTGTGAATCAAGCAATTGAACGCAGGTTTTCAAAAATCACTCTTGGTCTCTCTTACTTTGATCTACTACTGTCTCAAAGAAGGTTTTTCAGAGATTCTTCATCTTTGCTAGTTGCAGATTCTCGCCCAAAGCTTTGTTGTATCCTAGGAACGAACTTGCCTATAACCCAACAACAAACTCAATAAAACTAAGTGGGGGGCGGGGGGTGGAATAACAATCTAAAGACAGTGTCTTCAGACACGTCTCAGAGCACTTCTTCTCCAAGTTTTCGTGACCCCAATTCTCAACACTTAATACATTGCATAACCCACCAACCTCTTAAATTTCTATTAAATAGGATTCAAGTGGTTTAACAAATGGTATTAGACCACTAAAATTCAAGGTTAGATGAAGAATATTGTCTAAGTTAGCTAGTTAGGTGGCTGAGAATGAGTAGATTTATTGGTAAAGATCGACCATATAGAATGTTAAGGTTTTCTCTTGTTTTTTCTTTCCTTGCAAGTTGCTAACCCCTCCACCCAAAAAGAAGTATACTACACTATAGGGGTAGCCCATCCCCCAACCCCTAACCCTTCCACCCAAAAAGAAGTATACTATACTCCTTTATGAAAAGACGGAAGACATTGAGAGAGAATGCCAATGGTAGGGGACCCCTTGGTACATTCTAGAATATTTATTGTTTATATTGTTTTATCATTAATTGGAGAGGTTTTTGGAAAGCATTGTTTTAAAGATAGACCAAACCGGACGGTTGAACCATTTAACCCAGGAACCGATCATGTTTTTGGGTCTACTTTTAGACTAGACAGCTTTTTGTTAAAAAAACATTGATTTGGTCAAAAAACCACTGACCTGAATGGTCGAACCGTTAAACTGTTCAACTTGAGCAGAAATTTACAATTTATTAACAAAGGAAAAAAATTAAGGAGATTCACACATGGGGGAGGGATTAAGAGTCTAAAACACGATCTCAGATCTGAGATCAATGGGATCTATGTGTGTGCATGTGTGTGTGTGTGTGAGAGAGAGAGAGAGAGGCGAGATCTCAAATATGATATCTGAGAAAGAGATAAGCGAGCTAGATCCCAAATATGAGATTTGAGAAAGAGAGAAATGAGATAAATCTCAGATGAGATCAGAGAAAGGTGATCGTCACCGTGGCCAATAAATGTTGCCTCGCCTCCTCCTCCTCCTCCTTCTTTCTTTCTTTCTTTCTTTCCTTTCCTCCTTTCCTCCTTCCCTCCTTCCTTCATTCCTTTATTTTTTTCCCTTTCTTTCTTTCTTTCTTTCTTTCTTGTTTTCTCATTTGTCAACCATCCTAGCACTAGCTCTCTCTTTTCTCATAAAAAGAAGAGAGATAGAACCCTAAATCCTAATATTCCAATGGTCAAACCAATTGAATCGTTTGACCCAAATGGTCGAACCACTGACCCAAAAACTAGTGGTCAAAGCGGTTCCGTGTTTTTGGTTGGTTTTTAAAACCTTGCTAAAAATTTCATTCCACATTAGATAAAATAGACAATTGTTAGTCACTTGGCATATTCTTATAGTTTTATTTTAACTAGTGCTTGGTGACCCGAGTTGGAAATTGGACCAAATTAGATAAGATGGATTAAAGTAGGTCCGTGACAGTTTGTAAGTCTATGTTCTTACAAGTATTACATACTACACAATACAGTGGAATCAAGGTGGGGCAAAGAAGGGTGTACAATTTACCTGAGGCCCACCAGCCAAACCACAAAAAGTTTGCTATTCCATGAGTTTGATCCAATGGATCCTATTTGGAATGGTTCCAAATGACCATCTCAACAACTGGTAATTGGTTGGCTTTGTTCTTACCAAACTTTAAAAGTAATATCCTCTAGAAGTCGTTTATTAGCAAAACATGAAAATCATAGATCCCCAATCAATGAAGGGTGTGTCAAGGATTAATGTAGTAAGGTGTGTGAGATAACTAGATTAGTGAATCTCACTTTATTAGATTAGGATTAAACTAATGAGGACCCGTGTGATGCATAAGATTTGTTAAAAGAATTGGAGGCAAAAAGAGCTTGGGGTGCAACATAGGTGGGTCCAACTTGAACCTAACCCGACTCAACTAAAGCTTTTCCACAGGTTGGACTTGGGTTTTTCAAATTCAAGTTGTGCTTGGGCAAAACAACTCAGGCCTGGCCCAAATGCAAGTTGGGCTTGGGCTGAGACCTTGGGTACCCCATGACCCAACCTAATATGAGCCCCACCCAACATTTTATAATATACATATCTACATATTATCAATCTATTCTATCCAGAAATTGGGCTACAAAATCTCAACACCCCAACTCGAGATGTGGTTAAGCTCAATTGGGCCTAGGTTGGTAAATTTAGGCTTAACCTTGAGTTAGGTCAAGCCTGAGATCAAGGTTTTAAACTTAGGGTTGGGCTTAGGTTAACCCAAACCCAATCCATTCCACCTAATAAGTTGCACCACTAGAAGGAGCATTGTGACATTCCTAATTGTATTATATATATATATTGACTCATGTGTTTTGATAAATTTTCTTTGACACCCATTTTTTATGGTGTAAATTTAGGTTATTATTTTATTTGATATATGGATTTGTTATTTAATTTAAGAGATTAAATCAAGCTTTATTTCTAAATAATAACCCATTTTATGGATCATACATCATTTGAAATGAGTTTTCATTTTGTGAAGTACCATTTGAAGCTTATACTTTTTGGGTAAATTTCTAAAACCTCCTCGGAAGTTTTTGGCCATTGTTGAAACTAGAATTGTTCATGGGCCACGCCAGGCTAAGTTCGGGCCGAGCTTTGCCTCCAACAAAAAATGTCTAGGTCTGAGGCTGAGCCTGACCTAACCTTTGGGCCTAGATCTTGAGCCCGAGCCTGACCCTTATATAAGTTCCGAAGCCCAAGCTCGAGCCTGAAGCCTGATTTGCATATAAAATGCCCTATTTTTCTTGTAATTTAATAAGCTAATATTATATTAATTTGGTAATAGTTTAATAAATTAATACATTAATTCATATTTCCTAAATAGTAAATTAACTTGATTGTAAATTAATACTAATAATAACTTTATTTATATATAAATAATGTATATTTCTATTATATGTAATAGTATTGGGTCGGGCTTATTTGAGAAAGCCTAAACTCGGTCCAAAAAATAGTCGGGCCTGGTATTTAAAGCCTAAGCCCGATCCCGACCCTACGGGCTTGAAATTTTGTCCAAGCCCGAAAAACAGGTCTAGTTGAAACCTCCCCCTAAAATTTGGTAATTGCAATAACCACCCTTGAACTTTCTGACATAGATGCAAATAGACACCCTCTGTTATAATCCTTTAACAAGAGACAGAAAAATGTCCAAAATACCTATATAGCTACTATTGAGGCTGTTTTCTATAGAAAAAATAATACAAGCTTTATGAACAAAAAAGAAAAAGGGTTTTAAGTTGCTTTTGAGCGATTGATATGAAGGGCGGATTTGAAAAATAAATCAATTTCAGAAAAGAGTTTGGAGGGATTTGGGGTAGTGATTGATATGAAGAGAAAATTTGGAAAATAAATATTTTGGTCAAAAGTAATTGCATAGATATTTTGGACATTTTTGTGCTTCTTTTTAGAAGATTCTAATAGAGGGGATCTACTTGCAATTGTATCATAAAGTTCAAGGGAGGTGATTGTAATTACCAAACTTCTGGGGAGGTTTCAAAAACAATCAGAAACATTTAGGGGAGGTTTCGGCAATTTACCTACTTTTTTTTTTTCTTTTGAGTGGATAGAAAGACATATATATGAGGAAGGAATATATTGTTTGAGTGTGGGAGTAACCACTTTTGATATTCTCTTTCTTGAGAAAATAAGATACCACTTGTATGAGAGAGAAATTCTTTAGTCTGAGGGCTTTGTTTTAATACACATATAAGATGCTTACATCTTGAGCTGGTTCTATTTAATCTCTTCTAATCAAGGTTGAACAATGAATGAAATAGAACCTCTCATTTCTCACTTTCTCTAACCGCTAGTATACTATGACCCAAAATATGTGATTCACTTGGGATTACCTAGAGCCATTACCAACTCCCTCATTCATGTAAACACTTGAGAGTAATTGGGTTGTTAAATATTTAGGTATGACATCAAGATCAACAACTCCTTGACAGGAAAGAAAACAATATACAACATCATGATACAAGATTTAATGAGATGGTGTGTTACAAATCATTTATCAAGATCATTAGTGAAGGCTTTTAAACTGGCCAAAGCCCTCAAATTCCCTTCTTTCCCCACAGCTCTTGTCTTCAATTTGATCATCCTCTGCTGCATTTCTCCTCCCTCCTCCATTATGCTCCTCACACCCTCCTCCACATCTCTGCGGCCAATCCTGTTGAGCTTCTCCCCTACCCCCCACACATCCACAATGTAAGTGCAGTTCACAAACTGATCCCCTGAAACAGGATAGCAGAGCAGGAGCTTCCCACCTTGTATGGCTTCCATTGTGGAATTCCATCCACAGTGTGTGAGATAGCATCCAATCTCTTCACGTTGAAGCAACTCTTTCTGAGGAGCCCATGAGACCACCTTGCCTTGCTCACCCACCCTCTCCAGGAACCCAACTGGTAAACCTTTTCGCCACATAGGTGCCAGAACCAGAATGAATGGCCTCTTGGTGGCCTCAAGGCCCAAGGCCAACTCTTGAATTTTTTCATCCCCAATGGGGGCAACCCAACTTCCAAATGACACATAGATCACAGACCCTGGTTTCTGCTTGCCTAGCCAATCCAAGCAGCTCATATCCTCTTCCCAGAAGCTAGGGTGTTTGCTTTCTGTATGCTTGATCAGAGCTCCAACTGGGAAAATACTTTGACCATTGTTGTGGGTTGGCTGTAACTGTTCTCTGTATCCATCACGTTCTTCTGGAAATGAGTTGACAAGGAGCCACTTCAGGGATCTTGATCTTTCTAGTGTCCTTAACCAGAAGGCGAACCTCGACTTTCGTGCCACAGAGTTCCCTACTAACCACGGTAGATCTTCCAAGCTAAACATGGGTTGACCAGGAAGAACAAATCCTGCACATTTTTGTTGGGGACTTCCTGCCAAAGCATCAAATAACCATTAATTTTAATTAATATACACCAAACAAGCTCTTGTAATAATCAATTAATGATCAATGCTTTAGAAGTGTTTGATGGAGATGTCAGCTGCATTTGGGCAATCTTTTGTTCAAGTTCACGAATCAGCTCTCAAGGATTCCAGGGCAGTGTTTGGCGCAGCCTATGGGTCATGGCCTTAACCAGAACGCTAGTCGTAAGGCTGTCAATGGGTCGGATATGATACGGGTTCTGCACTAACTTCAATTCGAATCTGAACTGACTAAATACACCGACCCATATGTAATGACAACGATCAGGCTAAATTAAATAAGGATTTGCTTAACCCGAAGCCGATTTAAAACCCGAATAAAAATTTATAGGGTCGTGCCAGTGTGGGTTTGCCACTTGACCCGACCCACTGACATACCTACCTCAGTTCTACCCCACAGTACAGCCTCAAATAATGCTGGACACATTAAATCGACGTTGTGGGCCTGTGGCAGAGTTGTAATTCTCTCTCTGAAATCAAGTTTGGATTTGCTCCTCACTGAGATCTCACGGTATGCATCAGCCGCATATCGGGGACATCTCTCGTACTTATATGTTATTCATAGAAAATGTTCCCAATACAAGGTAGGATCAGAGATGTGGTTGTGAGGTTAGTGTGATGAGTGAAATGTGAGATCGGTGTGATGAGTGAAGTCATGGTATCCATTAGGTATATGTTTGATATAGTTTCCATTTATTAAATAAACGTTTGTATTTGATTTGTCTTCAAAACTAAAAAAAGTATTTGATAAATCATTTATGGACAATTAGGCGCCATTAGACATCACATCAACGAAATAATGAATAAACACTCAACTGTTGGGAGAAACAATAAAATGAAACTTCCCCTAACAATTAATGCGCACATAGATCAAAACCCAATTTTATGAATATCAATACAAACAGATGAATATAATAAAAAAAATACTAATTTAATAATAATATAACGACATTTTTATAAAAACCTATCACAAAACACCCATAGAACAAGCCACACGCTAAATCTCAACAATCTCACTTCCTACCCATAAACATAAAAAAAATAAAAATCTCAGTAACTTACTTTTGCCCAAACTAAAGGAAAGGTACCATGGGTCATTTATTCCCCCCATGTGTAAAAGAAAGAAGAAACTGCTTGTCGTTTGGCCCATTAATACATATTAATTGCACAGTAGGGATTGAACCTCCCAAAACTAAGCGATATACTATGAATCTTCTTTTTTTTTTAATGCAGGTGGCTTCGAGTGCAGCTTGGGTTGGGACCACCCCAAATTAAGGTTGATGACTTAGTAACATGTTTACTTGCATGAATATAATAGTATACATTAAATCATGCATGTGTTTGGAAATTTGATGGGTAAGATCCCAACCAGCTTTCATAATTGAATTGGGTCAATTAGAACATCTGATTAGGTGAGTTGGGATCTCTTGCCAATAAAATACATTTCAACACTCTACCACAATATGATTTGGCACAGCACATTTTATATATAACAAGTCTTACTTTTATGATGGGTCCCCATCTCATGAGAAGATGTATAATACTAGATTATGTTGGTAGGGTATTGGAATGTATTTTATTGGCAGGAAATCCTAACTTGATTGGATTGAGTTAGGGTTAGGATCTTAAGACATCCGATTTGGTTAAAGTTAATTAGTCTCAAACCCGTGCCAACCTTACCCGAGTTGTATTCCTAAGGTGCCTGATCACATGGATTTGAGTGGCATGCATTCTTCGGGTTTGTCACTTCCTTAATGAACCCTTCAATGGGATCTGAAATGGTGAAATGGCTCATTTTCTTCTTTTTGTTACTTCTAGGCTCCATTTCAAGTTCTTTAACTTGGTGAGTTTGTTGAACAACCATAAATTCAAAACTGTGTTACTGTGTATGATGACAATTGACATGAAAAAGGGTCTTAACCTTTGACAAAGTGGCTGTTTTCATACTTGAACCTGTTCTCATGCTTGCCAGCCCGAGAAGGAATGGAGGTCACCTGCATGCACATGTGCATGTAACGTGTGAATGCATTTAAGCAAGATAAATTGTTTGATGGGGACCCTCTCTTTGATGGAGCCCAGATTTCCTACTCACTTTTTCTATCCACTCTTTACCGTCATGAATTGCAGTCACACATCTTTGAATTTATAATAGAGATGTGCAGCTTCAATTCACGACGAATAAAGAGTGAGTAGGAAATCTCGAATGTCTTTGATGAACTAAATCTACCCAATTGATCAGCCATTGGTTTTAAAAGGAGGAAAAGAAGGATAAAACTTGTTTATTGCCTGAAATTTTTGAGGCAATAAATGATGAAGGGAGCAGGATTAACACAGATAATGACTCAATCAGAATATTCTTGTTGAATCATAGGTCACCTCACAAGGTAACAAGGTAAGTATGCCGACTTCCAACACTTAAACGTTTGCCTTATCAGGCCCATTGATTATGTTAGCCATGAAAGTTTTTTGCTTGTGTTATTTGTCAAAATTGAAAGAAAATAAATAAGGATTGGTTTCATACATGGATTGACAAGGACCAAACAAGTCGCTTATAAAAAATTAGATAAAAAAAATAAAGGAAAATCACCAAATGGGAATCAAGTGGATTGTATTATCCAGATGATCTCCCCAATCATGTAAGAACTTAACTGTACAATCTCTCTTTTATATTTTTTATTACTTTTATTTGTTTTACCTGCAACACAAAATACAATTAGCTAACCTTTATTATGGATCTTAGACTGAGAGTGCCTTTTGGTCCAAAGGGGCTTATGAAAAAGTGACTTTTTAGAAATGGGCTTTTTCAAAAAATGTTTTTTAATGTTTGGCTGACACAAGTAGAGTGTTTTTCACATGCATTTTGAAATGGGCTTTTTTTTTAAAAAAATGCAATAGGCCCTTTTGGACTTTCACCAGACAATCTCTCAATGGAAAAAGCCACAAAAAGCCCACTAGAAAAACACTCCCAATCGCAGCCTAGTTAATTCTAATAAGAGCAAGCTCAGAAAGAAAACTGTTTTAATGGGGCCTAAATTTCACTGCTTGTCATATATGTATGTAATTAAGAGTGTCAATGGACCGGTTTTGGATTGGACCCTGTTCAGTCCAAATTGATCAATTTGGATGGATTGAATGGACCAATAAGACATATTAGATTGGACCAATCCAGTTCAAAACATTCATTAGATTGGATTGAACCTGGTCCGTCCATAATAAATTTTTATTGGATTGGATTGGATTAACCCAATATCTGACTCATTGGTATAAAATAAGAATATGGGTGTCAATAGACTAGATTTGGGTTGAAAAGAATCTATATCAAAACAAATTTGAACAGATTAGACGGTCCATGCATTAAATTGGATCAGTCCAAAATGGTCTAAAATATTCATTGAATTAGATTGGACCTGGATAAATGGACTCACATCGGACTGAATCGGATTGGACCAAATCCAGTCCAATTGGTACTCCTATGCAACAGTTACTCATACTCTCACAATTATTTAGTGATTCCTTAGTCAAGTTCGTTAAACATGGCATGTGGATTGATATCACAGCTCCTAATAGACTTTGTTGATTTCTTATATACTTAAAATAAAATCCAAAGGGAGATGACTATACATGTTGCACATGCCCATTGATCTAAGAGCTGGGTGATGCTGCATTTCAATACCCAAATCAAGTTTCAAATTTCAACTGGGTTTGGATAATTAAGGTTAATTCTGTATTAGTTGCTGAATTATTGTTGTTAATGGTTGCACCAAATTAACCACTATTATATATGAATATTGATATGAAACTAGAATTAATGAAAGCTGTAGCTAGCTTACCGAATTCATCGATGAGCCCAACCTTGATCATGTCCGGAATGGCCACACAGATACGATACATAGCAAGCATGGCGGGCCAGAACCCGGCCACCGGAACCCCGCAGCGGCCGGCAACTTCGATAGCCCAGGAGGCTAAGAAATCAACCACCACACAAGCCACTCTTCCATCTTGACTGAAGCTACGAATGATGCGTTCCAGATGGGCCGGCATGCTGTTCTCCATGGAAAACGCAATGGTGAAGAAGTCTCTGGGTTCGTTCTCACTCAGGCCGTCTGGAATGGAGATGAAGGAGACGCCATAGTTGGGTTGGATGTGCGGCATGATCTTGAGGTGCAGATAGTCTGGGACGACCAGCACAGGGTCGAACTCAAGGTCGCGAAGGGCCAAGGCAAGCTGGACCATGGGGGTGACATGGCCTTGTGCTGGGTAGGGAACCAGAACAATCCTTGCTTTCTTCTCCATGTTCCTCTTCGTTCTTTTGCCTGCAAAATCAACCCAACTCATGGCTGCTTTATATGTTTGATCAATTAGCCTCTGGACAGGAGAGAGCTGGGGTTGATGATGACCGGTTAGTCAACTATGCACGTGCCTAGAGATGCGTGCTTTTTTTGCCCAACTTGATTCAGACCTGTTTGCAACCAAACTGGGAAAAAGTAGGGTAAAGCTCTGATCCATCCAGTAAAGGGTATTACCCTTTCTTCTTTTTGCAGCATGAACTGATCATGAACCATCAACAGGGGTGAGGGGTGAGGGGTCCCTCCAAAATCAAATGTATCCCATCAATCAACCATCACATCAAATGGGAAAAATGGAAAAGGATCTGATATGATCTATTTAAAAATATCATGGTGGGCCCTACATCTTGGATGTTAAAGCATCTGTTTGGGATGGTGATATCTCCAGAATCCAAAGTTTAAAGTATTGACAACTATTGGCCTAAATTGGCCCATACGTGTCGTACTGATAGCTTCCTGATATGTTCATACGTGTCGGGCCTTAAATTGATTCCTCTAAACCAATTAAAAAAATAATAATAAAATATAAAAAAAAAAAAACACTTATACAGATCGATACACCCCATATATCAATCCATATCAATATTTAACACCTTGCCATAATTTTCACCAAACATAGATTATAAGCTGCCTGAATAAGGTTAACCTCGGAAAGCCAAAAACCGCCATGCATCAACCCTCCCAAACGAGCACTTATTGACTTTGCAAAGATACAAAATAAGAGACATCAGAGTTAGGCGTAAGGTACTAATAAACAAGTGTTTTGGTCCTTTTGCGCATAAAAGAAGCATGCTTAATATAATAAAAAAAATGAAGATGGGTTAGTAGTTTTTTTGAGTCGGCACTCTGCAATTAAAAGAGGAATGACAAGGGCCTAATTTTAACAGTGTCCTATATTATTTAGAGACACTTTTGCCTTTTTGGCTCAGTTTGGAAAGAGTATAAATATAAAAATGTACAGTTTTATATATATATTTGGCTCAGTTAATAGTTTTTTGCATTTTAAGCAGTATTTGGAAATGCTGCAAATGGAGTGTAAATTTCGGTTCAGGGTAAATTTGCACTCTGATTTAGTTTTTCCTGTGTTTGGCAATATTATATTTATGCATTATAAATGACATAAAACAGATTTTTCAATGCATATTTACATAGGTAATAAGATGTAAAAGTACATCAATAAAAAAGAAGTATATTTGCATTCAATTGGGCTTTTGATAAGAAAAAAAACATATGTTTTATTGGAATTCGTGTTTGTATCCATTACGGTTAAAAGTCTGTTTGATAAAATGATAAATTCGTCAGTGCAAAACTAATCCAACTTTGCAATTTATATGAACCAATTTACACTACAAATTTACATTCACACTTATTTGCACCGTTCCCAAATGCAACCTTGTATGTTTATTCCTTCCAAACCGAGCCTTTATATCTTAAACAAATTTTTTATTTTGGACACCAATTCCAAAAATCTGGGGGTTCTTGGCACCAATGTTTTAAAAGCCGACTTGGAATTGGAACCCTTCTGACCACCGGTTTTCAGGTCGATGGTTCGGCTGTTCGTTTTGAATGGATGGCCTGTTCTGACGAAAAAATTAAAATAAAAATCAATTGAATGGGTTGACGGTTTGACTATCAGAATCAACATATCATTGACCAATTCAACAATTTTTAACCAAGGACCAGATTTGAGATAAAATATAACCAATTGCCTAAACGGTTCTTGAGCCAAACGGTCCAACTGTCCGAATCAACGATGATTCAAAAGCATTGCTTAGCACTATAAGAATTGGGCCCATATCTTCTCACAACAAAATACTTTTCCAACGCTGTATCAACACATCTTATAAAATTGGGATCCACCATAAAACTGTCATTTACCATGTATACAAATCATGTTCCAACGTGTTGGAAAAGTAATTTGATGTAAAGAAATCCCAACTCATAGGAGAATTAGGATAAGATAAGCACCTCTTATTCTTCAACTACCATTGCTTTGAATTAGACGATAAAGCAAACACGTTGTGTATTAGGGCACCCATCCAATCATCCAAAAGCATTGAAAAGCTGCTCCGTATGAACTGTGATACCATCGATCGAGCCGAGTGGGTGTGGCCTGTGGCTCAGAGAAGGACCCACGAGTCCCAACCAGTCAATAAAACTGTGAAGATGTCAAGCCGCGTATTGTATAATGCCCGACATGATTTTTCATTACCCAACAACCCAACAAAACTAGAACAGATGGACGGCTGATGACCTTCGATAAAAAAAAAAAAAAAAAAATTATTGAAGGCTACTGGAATTGATCATGGATGGTTATGGACACTGAACCTGGTCTGGTGTCCACATGGACTCCACTTTACATGACTACGTGTCAATATAACAGCCATATTTATTTATTTATTTTTAATGAATAATTATTTTTTATGAACAAATTAAAATGGATGGTTGGCAAGTGTCATGTTTTTAAAACCAATTCGGAAGTAAAATTAATTTTTTATGTGATGGGTTAATGATTTAAATAAATCATATTAAATAATAAAAATATTAAAAATGTAAAAACATTTTAAAGTATTACAAATAAGGGTTGTGTTTTTATTAATTAATAAAGGAAATGGCTAATAACATTTTAAAAAATTAAGTTCTAACCAGTGACCCACTAATTGGGTCAAACGGTTCAGTGGTTCAACATTTGTATAGGCAAACAGTTTGGTGGTGAAACGGGCTTGAAATTCTAACCAAACAACAGGTCAACCAATCCAGCTAAAACACTAGTTGTTATTAGGATATGTTTATTAGCATCTTTACTTGGGATGGGTTTGGTATGCTTGTAATTAGGGCTGTAAATGAATTGAATCAAATTTGATTTGTTTATATTTGAATTCAAATTAGATCATATCCATCATAATTAATAATGATTGATATTGTATGTCATGAATTTACTGAATTAAAATTACTTATATGAAATTTGATCCTATGACAAAAAGTAAAAAACACAATATTGTAATCAAATTTATTATTACATTACATTATAAACGTTAGGTATATATGGGCAGATATATTTAAATCAAATTGAATAAGATTATATCGTGGATCTATATTTTGATCCAATTAAAAACGGATCGAATTTGGACCATCCTTAGTTGGATCAAATTAAAATTCAAACAGTTACCGTAAACGTAGAAATCAAATCTCTATGAATGTTAGCACTTAGCACTACTAAAAGACAGAACTTTGTTTGGATGGGTCACCGTTTCTTTAGCCGTCCAATCTGTAGACATGAAGGTATTCCACTCCGCCTTTCAAGAGCTCACCAATTAGAGGTGGTCACGAACTGAGCTCTTTATGAGTTATTTAAGTTTGGTTTAGCTTCGAGTCGAGTTTAGGCCCAATTTACAGACTCATTTAATAATCGAACTGAATTCAAATAGCTAATTATTATAATTTTTAATTTTTTAAATATCAAATAAAAAATATTTTTTATAAAACATTTTTCTTCAAATCGAATTCGAACCGGCTCAAACTCGAACTCAAGATTCTAATTTGAATCAAACTCGAGCCTTACAGTACCTTAAGAAACCAAGCTCAAACCTTATACTATTCGCAGCACTTGATGACAAAAAGAGAATCAATGGAATGGTACCCGTAATTTAAAGCTATATTATGGGCCTCGTAGGTAGCCCATGCTTCCGCACTGCTTATATGGTAGGCTTTTAACTTCCAAAATTCTTTCAATAGAATCTCGAGCAATAAAAGCAATGGGACAAGCTATGCATCAAAATTTATTTTAATAGTCTCCATTATCATATTAGCTGGACCAGCACTCTAATTATTAAATGTTTTATCATTTCGATTTTTCCAAAGGCACCAAATAATTAAGGCAGACTTCTCCTTGACTTGAGCAATTTTGTCACCAACTCCATTGTCACTAGTCATTCCTACAAAAGAGTTTTCTGTAGCCACTCTCACTTGCTTTGACAAAGGGAAAGTTCTAAAAATATGATCCGTATCCCCTGTCTCCCCACAAAGGCTACTAAAACTTGCTTCACTTATTAAACAAGAAAAACAAGAAAGTTTTAACTTTGGGGGAAGCTAAGTCTCCAAATTCTAAATAGTAATTTATCAAGCAATTCACTACCTCCTCTCGCTATAAAGGCTTCATTGTAAGCTGATTTAACCATAAATAAACCTTTAGGCTGCGTTTGGGAACGATGCAAAGAAGTGTGAATGTAAATATGTAGAGTATAAAACCGCTCATATAAATTACAAACTTGGGTTAATTTTGCACCGATAAATTTACCTTCCTACCAAATAAACTTTTAGTTGTAATGGGTGCAAACACGAATTTCAATAAAACATATACCTTTTTTTATCAAAAACCCACTTGAATGCAAATTTACTTCTTTTTCATTGATGTACTATTACATCTTATTATCAATGTAATAGTACATAGGAAAATGTATTTTTTGTCATTTGTCAATATATAAATGTGATATTGTCAAATAAAAGCAAAAGTGAACCAGAGTGTAAATTTACCCTGAATCGAGATTTACACTCCATTTGCATTGTTTTCAAATACAGCCTTGGAATTAAGTCTCCTTCAAAGGGGTAGGTGATGATTCATCTATCAACTTTTGGAAAGACACGTGGATAGACGATCTTCCTTTAAATGAGGTGGTGCCTTCTGATCTTAATTCTGAAGATCTGAGTGTTTGATGTCATCGACCATGAAAGAAAAGTATGGCGAGAAGATTTGTATTTAGGATCCCTTTGTATCAAAATTTGAAATGGGCAAAGTTTTCAAGCTAAAGTATATTCTTGCACCATTTATGACAAAAACTTTGCATTAATTGTAAAGATCTGAAAAAAAAAAAAAATTATTATAAAACAACAACAATAACATTCAAAGGGCCGAATTGGTTCAAGGTGGGGCATAGGATCAAACTGTTTAGGGTGGGGGTAACCCTAATCCCTTGATATTCTTAGGACCCATTTGAGAAGGCTAAGCTAAAGATTCAGTTAAACTGGTTCAGTTCAACAGTAAATCATTCCAGTTGATAGCCCTTCAAATGATTGATTAATTAATAATAGGCTTGTGA